TGCACGAGCAGGCTTGTTGTTGATGGTGAGATCCACGTACTGGTTTCCATTCTTGGTAGGTTGGATAGATTGCTTTGTGACAGCACCGCATAATCCGATCATACCTAACTGTGCGGTTCCCGAACTCTCTCCTTGCGGCTGCTCCTTCCGTTCACGGACCATGGCGCTAAGGCTCTTTAGGTCAGGACAATTCCTGAAGCTGTGTGGCCCTTCGCATATGTAACATCCATTCTTCTCGGCGTGCGCCTTCTTCTCGGTGTAGCCCTGACGGCCACTCAGCTTTTTGGAATCTTGAGTCTTGTAGTATTATTGTTGTATCTCCTTGCCTTTTCCACGGTCTCCCCCACCTTTGACATTATTAAACTTTGATTCTTTGACTTTCCCTTTGTCGTGCTTGTCATACCTGAAATCCATCAATGATTCGGCCTCCACTATGGCTTGGTCTATATTTGCGACTTGCCGGCATTGTAACTCCTGCTTGGCCCAATTTTGAAATCCGTCCATGAAGTGGAACAACGAGTCATCATTGGTCAGGTTGGGGATTTGAAGCATAAGGGTAGTGAACTCCTTGACATAGACACGTATGCTCCATGTTTGCTTCAACTTCCTAAGTTTGCGCCTTGCCTCGTACAAGACATTGTTTGGAAAGAATTTTCGCTTGAACTCGGCTTTGAACTGATCCTACGTGCTAATAGTACATATACCTTTATCCACGTCGGTCATCTTCCTTCTCCACCATAGCATGGCAGTCTCTGAGAGGTACAACACCGCAGTGTTGATCATGGCCTCGTCGTCCTTTCACTTTGTCGTGCTTGAAGTAGTTCTCCAAGTGCCAAAGGAAGTTTTCCACTTCTTGCGCATCACGAACACCTTTGAACACCGGGGGTTTGGGAGCCTCGATTTTGGCCTCCATCGTCACCACAACATTGCTGGCTGCCTCGGTCACGCCAGCACTAACATGCTCCTCGAGTGACTCTATCTTTGCCTTCATAGCATCGATAGTACTCAAAGCCTCCATGAGTCTGCACTCCAAGGCAGTGATAGTTTGCCTTAGTTCCATCTCATTCTGTGTACGTCCCTCCAAGTCATTTCACATGCTCTCAATCTATTCAAGAGTGTACCCCTCAAGAATGCTAAGGGTGTCTTCCACCTTCCCCAAGCGTTGGTCAAAGATCTCCACGACGTCCATCCCCGCGTTCATCTTCATCACCCATTCTTTACCGAGCGAGACGTCCTCAGGAAGGACCTCCACTTCATCCTCGCTCGCCTCAGTGGAAGATGGTTCTTGGGATGTAAGCCCTTCGTTTGACACAACCTAGGGTGGTACCTCCTGGCCCTTGTTGGTGGCATTTCTCTTTTTGTTACGGCCGCTCTTGCCAGCAGCATCCTGGATGACGTTGGCTTGGGTGTTGGTAGCGTTAATTTCTCCGTCGTTCACCATTCCCTTAGTCGCAACCTTTGCTCTGATACCACGTTGTCACGTTCTTAGTCGTTAACTAAGTACATGTGCGACACTTGATAATTTTCTCACGTTCTTGCTATGCCAAGTCAGCCTTACTACACTCAAGATCGCTAAGAGAATGGTAGAAAGAACACAAGAGAATTGTTAAAGGAAGCTTTTTATTAGAGAGAACTTGAATTGTTTGCTTGATGAATTACAAATGAATGACCTCTTTTATATACTAGTCTCCTAGGGGCTAGTGTGTAAATATTAATTGTTATACAAGTCCTTAATATTTACAAGATAAGAGCTTTCTCTAGAATTCTCTACAAGCCTAGAAGATTCCAAGGACTTTCCTAGCAAATCCATAAACATCTAGGATCTTCCAAAGGAAATGTCCATACTTCTCTAGAATCTTCTCACAAATGCAAGCATTCCTCCTATGTAAGCTTCCACATGGCATTAATATATGCCAAATGGCGTTTATGTGGCATGATGACATGGCGAGTCATCACACATATCCATAAAAATTTGTAGTATGACCATACCATATAGTTTTAATGCATCTTTTTGCATCATTAGGTCCACATCCTTCATATTCGATAATGATAACATACCAATACCACACTTCTCTGTTTAACCAGCTTGGTTTCAAATGTGCATTCTTACACCCACATTTATAACCATGCATTAACCAATCATCTATACATGATCATGTTCTTTGCTTTTGGCATGAAGACCAATGAGATAGTATCTTTCACAAATATAGGGAAAAAATCAATTGAACCATATTTGAAATGATCTATCTATAACACCTTAGCTCTAGCGTTTAGGATTCAGGATTAATATTCAACAACAATCTTTTTGTCAGGATTATAACTCGCACACCCTACCAAACTATAGTTAAATAATGCAGGAAAACATGAACTTACAATAAGTGAATGGGCAATCCTAAAAAGAAAAGTGTGCATGTCACTCCTCCAAATTAGGGTACACATGTGATCAGCACCTAATGCCATTAACAAGCATACCACTATAACTATCTCATTGTGTCATGAATTATACGATACAATGTTTAGATAAAATATTCATATTTGTTTCACAAAAATAAATATAAGTTCCATAATTTCAAAACAATATGCAAGATAAATATGTTTATTACAAACCACAATCTTATGCATATAAGTAGACCTTCCCACAAAACGTGTCATGGAACCTCTAATGATATACATGAGAACAGGCAATCATAAAGTAGCTTCCACGATAAGAGGATGGAGCTCACCAAAAGTAATGAAGTAGGAGTGCTAGCAACCTAACTCGTCTCACCGCCAAGAGTAACAGTATCTTTATAGCACATGATCCCCATGCATCAAAGAAAAGGGTGTAACGATTCGGCCAGACGTCTTGTGTATTTGAGCTCTGTTCCCCTATTTGATGCTTTTCGTATGCGTATTTGCTATTGTATGACTTGCGGGGATAGTTGATTTAGTTTCGGAGAAGTTTTGGATTGAATTGGAACACATAGTTCCTAGTTTAGAAGCTTAATTTGGAAGTATTGATCAAATTTGACTTTTATGTATTTGACCTCGGATCGAAATTTTGATATTTGTTAGGTCCGGATGATAATTTTGTACTTAGGCGTATGTCTAAATTTGGATTTGGAGGTTCCTAGGTTGATTTGACTCTAATTGGCGAAAGTTGGCAATTTGAAGGTTTAGAAGTTCATAGGTTTGACCCATAGTTGACTTTGTGGATATCGATATCCGTTTGGGATTTCGAGTCTTGGAATAGGTTTGTATGGTGATTTATGACTTATGTGTAAAATTTGGGGTCATTCCGAGTTGTTTAGACATGTTTGGTGTAAGTTTGGAATTTGAAAGTTGGATTAGTTCATTAAGTTTGAATTAAGGTGTGATTCGTGGTTTTGATGTTATTTTGTGTGATTTGAGGTCTCAAGTAGGTCCGTGTTTTATTTTGAAATTTATTGGTGTGATTGAACAGGGTCCCGGAGGTCTAGGGTGTGTTTCAGGGTGGTTTCAGATCATTTCCCTTGTTATGGAACAGTTGGTTTTTTGGTATTCATCGCGATTGCAAAGTGTGTTTTATGGCTGACATTCTTTTGTTCTTCGTGTTCGCATTGGGGATGTCGCGATCGCGGATTGTTAGGGAGCTGAAGCTTCGCATTCGCGTTAAAGGGATCGCCATCGCATTAGGTTGTGTCAGGCTGGGAGGTCAGGTGGCTTAGTCTTCGCGTTCACGGGTAGTCGTAGGCTTAATTGCTGGTGAAGCGCGATCGCGGGCCAGGAATCGCGTTCGCGTAGGGTCTTCTGGAGGCAGAAGTTGACTTGTGCTTCGCGATTGTGAAGTAGGTCCCGCTATCATGAAGGGGAATCACTGGGCACACTTAAGTACTCTATTTTCGAGGGTTACAGTTATTTTATCATATTTTGAGATTTTTTTTTATTTTTTTATTTTGCCTAAGGGCTAATATATAAATAAAATCCCAAAAATGGGTCCAATGCTTACAAGATGTCCAAACCAAAAACCAAAATAGAAGTTGCATGAAGCCACTAGCTATTAAAAAAGATAAAAAAGCTAAAATCTAATTAACTAACTATTACAACAAAATAAGTTGAATGCTTCCTTCTCCTATTAGTGTATGTGAATCCAATTGTCATTGGCAAATACCAAGCAGCACCTATCAAGCTCTCACCAGGCTCCAGGGTATATTGTCCATAGTTTAAAATGAATTCCAAACATCTCCACCGCAGAGTTGAAGTCCGCATCGTCCTCCAAATGTCGCTACTATATGATCTCCATATGCAGTGGATTGATTTTGTTCAAGTATTAATCATGTGCTCACTCATTAAGATTAATGTGTAGAAGAGGAGTCTGGCTTTAGGCAGGCTTTGCAAGGCAAAAGCCAGGCTTGAGCTGGCTTTAGGCAGGCTTTACAAGGCAAAGGCCAGGCGTGAGCTGGCTTTAGCCAGGCTTTACAAGGCAAAAGCCAGGCGTGAGCTGGCTTTAGCCAGGCTTTACAAGGCAAAAGCCAGGCATGAGCTGGCTTTAGCCAGGCTTTACAAGGCAAAAGCCAGGCATGAGCTGGCTTTAGGCTGGCTTTACAAGCCAAAAGCCAGGAATGATCTGGCTTTAAGAAGACTTTGCAAGGCAAAGGCCAGCCTGTGCCTTTTTGTGATCTTGTAAGCACAGATCCTTCCCTACTAGAACCTTTAATGTAGACATCATTCAAAACATTGCTAAACCAGAGTTTCTTTAATCATTTGTAATATTTTCTTAAACTTTTAATGTACTTTCTATAGTTTTTATATTATTATGCTTTTTATTAATTTATAAATTAAAAAAATTAAAATCCATGGGGCATGTGCCTCGGGACTTACGCCTCGCCTCGTAATAGGTAGAACGCTCCGCCTCACACCCCGCCTTTTAAAACACTAGTTTCGACCAAGCGGATTAATTTCAGTTACAATCAGCTTAACCTTAAACGAATCTTTCTAATTTTTTTATTATCTAATCACTGCCTCGCAATACATAATATGCATTTGAGTTCTGCTGCTCCAATCTTAACTTAATTGGGCAAAACTTATTAACCTATACATAGTTTAGTTTTTTGGGAGTAATAGCGTCCAATTATCAATGATAAGTTGGGGGTAAGAGGTCGTAGGAAATTCCAACTATTTACAGACTAAACAAACAAAAGAGTACATAGTCTACATATTCTACTGGGTATTTCAGAGTAAACAACGCGGCTCCCATTTTCCTGACTTCAAACCCAGTACCAGCACAGCATGAAAAGCAAGCAACGTCTGGAAATGATGGGGTGATGTTCACGGAATGAATGGAGCGATAGAGATGATAATACTTAAGTACAGCATGATGCAGCTTGTGATCCTTGCGCTGGTTTGTCAACTAGTACCATTCCTGCCGGATTTTGTGCAGGTTGAGCTCTAGGCAACCGTTTAGCTGTAGGATTCCAACTCAGAAGTTAGGGCAGCAGGTAACTAAAGAGAAATTTAACTTCTCTGACATGCAAAATAGAAGTGAGACCTCCTAAAACCCCCGTCTAGGAAGTACCAACCAAAATATAAAACATAAACAATAAATGTGATAAGTAAAATCAAATTATGATGGATGTCTATCTTCCTCTCAAATGCTTAATGACATATTCAATGACACATTTTTTTCATTTTTCATGCCCATATAAAGGCATTGTAATAGATGGAAAGAAAACACAATTAAAGAAGAAATAAAATTTCTTCCTTCTCTCTATTTCTATTTCTTGTTCATGTTTCACTTATAGTGGAATCTGTACGGTACTAGTGCGTACAGGCTTTTCCAGGTCGACAAGACAAGATAACGCATATTGCACATGCGTCATGTTGAGAACACGCTCCTAAGACCAAAATCACTCTACGAAGCTATTGGAACCATCAAAATTTCATTCCGTAGTTGTCTTCACACAAGTCAACCTACGATCAACTCCTACGACTTAAACTTCCAACTTAAGGACTATATGTCCCATATCACTCCAAAACTCTCCCGAAACCAAAATCAAATACCATTAAATAAGGATCTTACGAGTACGGTTCCAAGCGGCTGGAAAGGATGAAGCCGTTGTCGGAATGATATTATTGGTGGCAACTGCAACGAACCGTTCCGTCCATCCACGGTCGTTATCATCATCCATGCTAGTCAGCAGAGCATGGTGAACGCGTTTGCAGAGGTTTATCATACCCCCCACGAAAACCTTTGGGGGAGTAGAGATTCATCATACGAGCTAATGTTAGCTATATTGGGGGATCGGATTGCACGCCGCAACAGGCTTATTAAAAGTCCATATTGGGGGATGTCTGTGACGTTGCTTACATGGTTAGGGAGAAGGTTCTGCGAAGTTTTCACCCATGAAGGGTGTTATGAGATTCGGGAAGAAGGGAAAGTTGAGCCCTCAGTTCATTGGGCCTTTTGAGGTACTTCAGAGAATTGGAGAAGTGGCTTATAAGCTTACTTTCGGATTTTAGAATAGTTGGACAACTAATTTCAAAATAGAGTCTGATAGCTAGCTTGATGATCAAGGGCAGAGCCGGAGGCGAAAGAGGATTTACCCAAATCTATTTTGTCAGAAAATTACATTGTGCATATAAATTATGTATATATACTGGATGATGTTGAATTTCCTTGGCTCTGCACTTATTTACTTTTTTTATTTTTTGAATTCCGTTCATGAAAATTTTGTCTCCCGCCAACGAATTTGGGCATGGAATTGGGAATAAATCATATATTTGAGTTCGTAGTGTTATGGGTAATGATTATCTTCAAAAATTTTCGAAATCCGGACAAGTGTGCCCGAGGGTGACTTTATCGATTTTTCGAGCGGAGTTGAAAAATAATTGTCCGGCCTTATAAGGCTCGGTATATATATAACTGCTCTGCCGTAGTAGGCTCGCTCATAGGCGCTCGCCCATGCTAGGCTCTGTATCTCGGCCAACTGGGCTCGCTCATAGGCGCTTGGCCACAGTAGGCTCGGTATATAACTTACCATCTGATCAGAGGTTGCCCAATAGGGGCCTGCCCATCGATTATAGCTCGATGGAAATTATTCGAATTTAAGGAATTTAATTAATATATTGAGAATTGTTGCATTTGAAGAATTTTGATTATTTCCGTTGATTAAATAAATTATTGTAAATTATGTAAATCATGTTGATTTATATATCCTAATTGTATTTCAATTATTATTATTGCCCAATTGTGAGTGTCAAAGTCGGTCATCTCGTCTCTACCACTTCGAGATTAGGCTTGATATTTACTGGGTACACGTTGTTTACGTACTCATACTATACTTGTTGCACTTTTTGTGCAGGAACTGAGGCAAGTACTAGTGGGAGATCTATCGTCTTACACCCACGTTATCCAGGGACAAGGTGGTGATTGTGATATTGTACCTGTGACCACACCGGGCGGATTGTGATATTGTGGATGTGACCACGCTGCATGAGGAGACCCAGTGAATTTGCAAATTGCTCACTAGTGGAGGCCGTGGATGTGATACTGCAAGAAAAGGATGAGACCCTTAATGTCAAGGATCCACTAGAAGCCTGATTGCGGCCCAAAGTGTGCATGTGCGATTGCACCAGACACAACAATGGTTCAACAATCACATAAGTCCAAAATGGTTTCGGATTCAATCCGAATCACACCCAACCGGAGCAAAGATTGCTCCCGTTTGTAGAATAGTTACCTCCTGGATTACCTGCAAAACTTAAAACATGGTGCGTGCGAATATATATATGGGTTATTGCGAAAGTTTAAGCGTGATGCAAATTCCTTTTGGACCATGAAGGTTGTCTTTGGACGGTGAGGATGATGTCCTTAGACCATGATGTCCTGAGCCATGAAGCGTATGATAAGGGATTCGCAGGCCATGAAATGGTGTCCTCAGGCCATATCCACCCGAGAGAGAGATCGAGTTTGCCATCGACATGCCATCTGATACACAACCAATATCTATCCCTCTGCATAGGATGGCTCCTGCCAAGTTGAAGGAATTGAAAGATCTTACAGATAAGGGCTTTATCCGACCTAGCACTTCCCCATAGGGAGCTCCAATGCAGGGGGGAGGGGGATCTCCCGGAATACGTCCGTAGTCCCAAAATAAATATGCAGTGCTGGGGGATCTCCCGGAATACGTCCGTAGTCCCAAAATAAATATGCAGTGCTGGGGGATCTCCCGGAATACGTCTGTTTACTAAATTATTTTTATTTCATAACACGTTATCAGCACGAGATTCTACCGTCTCAAGAAGCTCTTTGAGAAGACTAAGGTATAATTTTTCTCCTCTTTTAACTATAACTGATATTATGAAAAGAAAGTTCGTTGCCCTTGAAATTCGGGCAAGAACTATATGACATGGGTGTTGGATGCTGAAATCCATTTAGATGCAATGGGTCTTAGAGACGCCATTAAAGATAGAAATAAAGCATCTACCCAAGACTTTGTTAAGGCCTTCATTTTCTTGCGCCATCACCTTGATGAAGGGTTGAAAATAGAATATCTCACAGTCAAAGATCCACTTGTTATTGTGGAACGGCTTATAAAGGAAAGATATGACAACTTAAAGTTGGTCACTCTACACAAGCACGATATGATTGGGCTCATCTGAGGCTCCAAGACTTTAAGTCTGTTTCTAAATATAATTCTGCGATGTTCAGAATTACTTCTAAATTGAAACTCTGTGGAAATAGTATCACTGACTATGATATGCTTGAAAAAACGTTCACAACATTTCATGCCTCCAATATGGTCTTGCAACAGCAGTACCTAGAGAAAGGTTTCAAGAAGTACTCTGAGTTGATTTCTCTTCTCCTTGTGGCTGAACGAAACGACAGACTTACTTATGAGAAATCACGAAAATCGACCCACTGGTCTACACCATTGCCTAAAGTGGATGAGGTGTATTCCCATTATGCTAAGCGTGGAAAAGGTCGTGGTCGTGGCCAAGGAAGAAATTTTCCTAGTATTAATCATTCCCCAAAGAAAAATAACCTCCAAAAGTGGAAAGGGAAAGATGAGAAGCCAAAAGGCAAAGGGTTCAGAAACTGAATGTTATCGTTGCGGTGAAAAAGGCCATTGGGCAAATATTTGTCACATATCAAAACATTTGGTTGAGCTTTATCAAGCATCTCTAAAGAATAAATGCCCTGAAACTAATTTTGTCTATGACTCTACTGAGCTTTTTAGCAACTACTGCAACTAGTAAACATAAGCCAACAAACATCTTTTATATCTCCGGTGGGATGGTTTGAGCCGGGTGAGGCTAGGCTCTTGGGTACAGACTTGGTCCAGGATGCATTAGACAAGGTGAAATTGATTCAGGAGCGGCTTCGCACAGCGCAATCTAGGCAGAAGAGCTATGCTGACAGGAAGGTCCGTGATGTGTCTTTCATGGTCGGGGAGAAAGTTCTGTTGAAGGTATCACCCATGAAGGGTGTTATGAGGTTTGGGAAGAGGGGCAAGTTGAGCCCTCAGTTCATTGGGCCTTTTGAGGTACTTCAGAGGATCGGGGAGGTGGCTTACAAGCTTGCCTTGCCACCTAGCTTGTCGGGGGAGGATGTAACGACCCAGCCGGTCATTTCGAGAGTTATAGCCCTGTTTCCCTCATTTCTGTTTCTTTTGTGCTTTACAACTGTATTATGTCTTACCGGGTTGGTTGGTTCGGGTCCGGAGTGGTTTTGGAGGGAATTGAGACACTTAGTCTCTTAATTGGAAGCTTAAGTTGGAAAAGTCGACGGGATGTCGACTTGTGGGAAAACGACCTCGGATTGGAATTTTTATGATTCCATTAGCTCCGTTAGGTGATTTTGGACTTAGGAGCGCGTCCGGAATGTGATCTGGAGGTCCGTGGTAGAATTAGGCTTAAATTGACGAAAGTTAGAATTTTGGCGATTTTTGGCCGGCTGTGGAAATTTTGATATCGGGGTCGGATTGGATTTCCGGAAGTTGGAATAGGTTCGTGGTGTCATTTTTGACTTGTGTATAAAATTTGAGGTCAATCGGACGTGGTTTGGTAGGTTTCGGCGCCGTTGTGGAATTCGAAAGTTTAGAAGTTCTTTAGGCTTGAATCCGGGTGTAATTTGGTGTTTTGATATTGTTTTAAGGGATTCAAAGGTTCGACTAAGTTCGTATCAGGTTATAGGACTTATTGGTATAATTGGTTGAGGTCCCGGAGGCCTCGGGGTGATTTCGGGTGGTTAACGGCTTGATGGGAGTTGAGGAACTTGCAGCTGAAGTTGCTGCTACTGGTGTAACCGCACCTGCGGAGTGGGAACAGCAGGTGCGAGTCCGCAGAAGCGAAGGAGGAGCCGCAGATGCGGCTAAGGAGGACCTGGGCAGAGGACGCAGGTGCGATGGCATTCCCGCACCTGCGATGGTCGCAGAAGCGGATGTAGGGGCGCAGGTGCGAGTTTGGACCGCAGGTGCGATGTAGTTCCCGCACCCGCGAAGAGCGCAGATGCGGTCACTTGATCGCAAGAGCGGAGGCAGTGTTTAGGGATTTTTCCGCAGAAGCGGGGCTTTGCCCGCAGATGCGGAAATGGAGCCGCAAGTGCGAGAAATCTGGCAGAACCTATAAATAGAACACTTCGAGATTTTTCACCATTTTCATCATTTTTGAGCTCGGATTTTGGGGATTTTGAGAGAGATTTCGGAATAATCACTGAGGTAAGTTCCTTGTGCCTATTTATCTTCAATAATGGTATTTTTCCACTGATTTTACACCTAGTTGGTGAGTGTTTGAGGTGAGATTTGGGAGATTAGGGCTTGGGAATTGGAGAGTGAATTTTGGGATTTTGGAGGAGCAATTGAGGTCGGATTTTGATAAATTTGGTATGGTCAGACTCGTGAGTGAATGGGCTTTCGGGTTTTGTGACTTTCCTCGGGTTTCGAGACGTGGGCCCGGGGGCGGTTTTAGCCGATTTCGGATTTTGGACTATATTTTAGTAGTTTTCTTGTGGAATTGATCCTTTTAGCCAATATTAATTATCTCGTACTGTTTGTGGCTAGATTTGGGGCATTTGGAGGCCAATTCGAGAGGCAAAGGCATTTCGGAGTAGGATTTCTGCGCGGTTGAGGTAACAGTCTTAAATCTGGTTTTGAGGGTATGAAACCCCGAGTATTGGTATGATGTGAATATTTGGAGGTGACGCACATGCTAGGTGACGGGCGTGTGAGCGTGCACCGTGAGGGATTGCGACTTGATCTGTCCCGTGAGACTGTAAAGTCGAATAGCCATTGTTATTACTTATTTATCCTTGTCTTTGAGCAATTGACTGCCTTTCATGTTAGAAACCATGCTTAGGCCATATGATATCACTGTTGGGACCCGCAGCGGTCGAATACTTGTTGAATTGACTGATAATTGTTGTCTTGTACTCAGTCACAGTCTTATATGTGTGTTATATCTCTGTTCCCTCTCATTTCTTGTTAATACTTGTTATATTCTCTGTTTGGACTAATTATTATGATATTCTGTGAGCCCGAGGGGCTGGAGAGGTTAGTGACTGAGATAGGGCCTCAGTGCCGAGCTGCGAGCTGTGAGGTATATGGATCGGGTTGCACGCCGCAACAAGCCTTCGGGCTATATATATATATTATTGGATCGGGTTGCACGCCGCAACAATATTGGATCGGGTTGCACATAGCAACAATATTGGATCGAGTTGCAAGCTGCAACAATATTGGATCGGACTGCACGCCGCAGCAATATAGCACTTGGGCTGAAGGAGCCCCTCCGGAGTCTGTACACCCCCAGTGAGCGCAAGTACCTATTGAGAGTGTGTATTGAGGGCTGAGAGCCGAGAGTATGAGCTGTTGAGATGAGTTGAGTGACTGCTGTTTTGAGAGTCTGTACTTGCTTTTATTTATTGTTGCACTTAGTTGTTATCTGCTGTTGTTATGAAATTTCTGGAAGATTCATATTTGTTTTACTTTAGCTCGAACTGATTTGACTTATACCACCGGATTTGAAAGCATGTTCACTCTTTACTGAAAACTTTTGAAATGATCTGTATTTTTATAGTTCGTCACTGCTTCTCAGTTCCTTATTTAATTCTGTTAATTGCTGAGTTGGTTGTACTCATGCTACACCATGCACTTCATGTGTAGATCCAAGTGTGTATGGTTCTAGCAGTCGCTGAGTTCGTGCACGGGCTGATTATCGAAGACTTACAAGGTAGCTGCCGGCGTCCACAGCCCTTGTTTCTCCTTTCTTATTATCCTTTCTCTTTTGTATTGGCATTTGGCACAGACTGTAGTAGACTCTGTTTCTAGATTGGTTGTTAGATGCCCATGACTTAGTGGCACCCCGATGTCGGGCTATCATTCCGCACTTGTGTTTTGGGTTTTTACCCCGTTATTATGTAAACCTTTAATTAGTTTAATTTCTTTAGCTCACTTCTGTTATATATTGAAAGCATATTGAGAATGTTGGCTTGCCTAGTTCCACGATAGGTGCCATCACGACTGGTTAGGTATTTGGGTCGCGACAATTGCATAGCACAAGGATAACAAGAAAGGAAACCTATAAGACAAGACTGACCCTGTACACAGTCAAATTTCAGAAGCCTGACTAGTAGAATGTTTCACCTACTGTGGCATAAGCCATTGAAAAGAACAGATGAAAAACAAAGAGACCAATAAAAGGAAACATGCAAAGCACCAAAACAATGGAATATACCTATTTCGTAGAAAATATCATTGACATTGGTAGCAGTTTTGGCAGAGGTTTCCATGAAAAAAAGACCGTTTTCCTCTGCGTACAGACGTGCTTCCTGCAAAAGCCGTATCAAGAAAACTATATATCAGGGACCACAAAACAGCCAAGAAATTTAACTACCCAATTAATGGTAAATTTTAGAAAATGGAAGGTGACTAACCCAGTAGAATAAGTTATTAATAACAAATGCCAAGTTCTGATTACATATCTTTTAATTGCGAGAAACTCAATTATAGAATAGCGTTTCAAAAAAGGAAAGCCAGCAGACTTTTCCATTATCTCTGGATTGCACGAGTTGATTCCCACAGACCACAAGAATGAGTGTTTCAATTTTACATTATTTGAACCGGGTATCTAGAGGCCAGTAACATGTTTCTCTGTCAAAAATCAGTTATCCTCAATGTATAATAAAACTTAATAGACAAAATGAGAACATTCATAACTACTTTTTACAAATTCCATAACAGTTTAGAGATAGGAAATGTGTAGAACTATACTATAGAATTGAGACCAGACACAGTATGATGAAATCAATACAAGAATTGTGCTTCCAATCAGATGGTTGGACAAGTGCAATCAAAGTAACCTCAAATAAGAATATGGTAGGCATTACCATGTTTACCCACAAGGCAAGAAAGAAAGAAAGAAAGAAAGAAAACACTTACTTCTGCAGTCACCTTCCTCTTATCTTCTAGATCGGCTTTGTTTCCAGCAAGAGCCATGACCATGTTGGGATTACCTGTGCAATTGTCAAAAAATACTTCACTTTACCGAAAAATATATTCAGATGAAGTTGTGATACCTTTAATAACCTTATTTGAGTCATAAGGAAATAAAGTAATGGAGTACAGGACAACACAGAGAAACGAATAAAAAAGATGTTTGTAGATCTCTATATTGTTTGCAATAAACTGATAAAGAAAGAATATTCTAACTTTTCGATTCGAATAAAGTAGATAACTTGACAGATAAGCACCTTGCTTCTGCAACTCTTGAACCCATTTCTTTGCTCGTGCAAATGATTCCTAAGTTAAGAAGGAAAAAGAAGATTACACCAAGAATGAAAATGATATTATCTAAATTGACATGCATAGACATAGGCACACACAATTAGACAGCACACATGCACAGCAAAGCGTGATGCTGCCCAATGCCAAGTGTTGGCCATAAGACGCCAAACAAATGATCTTCTAGCTCCTTAAGATTTTAATAACATTTTTACAATTTTAGTGAAACGGCTATTCCTAAGAGAAAAACACTAACTTAAATTGTTTAAGACTTTATAATTGTCCCCCTTGAATTGAAATTTCTAGCTCCAACCCTGATGATAATGATAATTAAGCAGAAGCAAAATCGACAAAGGGAAAGCAAAAGCAAACATGAACAAATATTCTGCCTGTAGTCCTAATTCAACATGAATGACAAATCAAACTACTACTTTCATCCACTCAAGCCCAGCTGCTCTCCAGGGTCCAAAAATGTCCATAAAAGCATAAAGAGAACAAGTAAGTGAAGAACAAGCATAAATGTAGTTCTTGCAAGCTAATGCACAGAATGAAGCTACCTCTGTTCCCGATTACTCTATTATTCCTTTCCACGTTGCAATACCAATGCATTCAGGCAACTAGCATAAAGCCAAAATTATTGCATTCATAAGACCCATTCAATTGCTATTTGATTACAGACTGAACATGAGGGCCAAACCCATGGGACTAAATTTATCAAGTGGGATAGTTATAAGCCCTTTAACGATCCTCATTGTAATCCATGTGGATCAAGTTGAAGCAGACCAATGAGCTGAATATATATTACTCTCTCTGTCCCAATTTATAAGATGCACTTGCCTTTTTAGTCCGAAAAAAAGAAGAAGATACTTTTCTATATTTAGAAACAATTTAACTAAAAACTTCTCATTTGACCCCTTAATTTACAATCACACCAATATCTAAGGTTTGGTTCAAAAAATTTTCTTTTTAACTTAAATCCCGTGTCCAGTCAAACAACATGACTTAGGGAGTACTATATATAGCTGACTCCAACTAGTTGTTGTTGATCAAAAGAATCTTACAGTGCTTGTGATGTCATACACGATGATAGCAGATGCAGCACCTCTGTAGTACATAGGCGCTAAGCTGTGGTACCTCTCCTGACCAGCAGTATCCCAGATCTCAAACTTCACCGTTGCATTGTTAACTGACACCGTTGACGAAAAGAACGCCGCTCCGATCGTCGATTCCTGTGATCATCAACAAAATTACAAGGACTTGAGAACTAGGGGAAAAAACCCTAAAAAGTCAAAAAATTGAAGGCTTGTAAAGACGGAAAAATACCTGGAATTCAAGGAATTGACCCTTGACGAATCGTATAACCAAGCTTGATTTACCAGCTCCCATGTCCCCTAATAACACCTGAAGAGTCAATTAAATTCACCATCAAAATTTAATCCATAAATGATTAATAGAGAAGAAAAAGGCTTTTAACAGAAGCAATAAAAAGGATTTTACATAGGAATTGATGCTTGCATGAATTAGACTTACGAGTTTTGCATTGAGATTATTGTGACCGCTTGACGCCATGATCAAATGACTGATGAGGTAAAAATGAAGAATTTACAGTGTGTTTCTGAGATATTGAGTTGTAAGCTATTAAGAGACGAAATTAATGGAAGAGACAGTTGGAAGGCCTAAAACCTCCAATTGGAAGGAAGTGGAAAATTGACGCGGATAAATAAATAAAGAGCTTAGCTTGGCGCCTAACGTAAGCTGGAAGGCCTCAACAAAAGTTGAGCAAAATTCATTTATAGTCACTCCGAGCCAAACTTATAACACTTGTTAACCCAAAATTACAATATACTTTTTATAGCCCAAAAGTAATTCTAATGATTAGCCACTAAATTATACATCTGACCCACAAGCACAAACACAGGTTCACTGGAGAAATAATTTTCGGCCCAAAATAGTTTAGCCGGAAAACTTCACTGGTTGCAACAATGGCCGAATAATTCACGGTCGCCGGAAAAGCTATATACCTGCCAAATATGCCGAAATCCAACCAGCAAACAAACCATCTTTTAGATCTAGATTTTCATAATATCAAAAGCCCCAAAAACAGTAAATAAAACGAGAAGAAATAATCGTCGGATTTAATAGAGAGTCGTTGGTGTATTAGTTTCAAAAACTCTTCCTCTTATTGTAGGAGTAAGTTGTATTCTCATATTAGGTCTTTTTTTAGGTTTTGTAAAAATGTACTAGTTGGGTACTTATAGTATCATGTGTTGTGAGAACAGCATATTAGGTAAAAGGGTATGATAGATTGAGGCGACAAGGTCCATTGTTTGTCGAACAAATATTCTTTGCTTTCTTTATGTTGTACATTGTTGATGACATGTTCACATTCATAAGCAGTATGTCACCTTTGGAGTTTGATTTACGATGCCAATGTTGTACCTGTCATCTTCCTCAATTCTGTATGTAGCTTCTATACCTTTATCAATGAGGTTCACATTAATTCAAGGTTGTAGGCAAATCTATTACAACCAACTAGAAACAAAAGAAAGCAAGAGGAATTGTATAGGACTCTCACTATACAATTTATATATAATATATTGTCACTATACAAAATATATACAAAAATAGACTGTCATTATACAAAAAATATACTAAATAGACCGTCACTATACAATATATATATATATATAATAGACTGTCACTATACAAAAATATACTAAATAGAATGTCACTATACAAAATATATACAAAATATATACAAAATAGAGTGTCGCTATACAAAAATTTATATAAAATAGACTGTCATTATACAAAAAAATATACAAAATAGACTGTCACTATACAAAAATATATAAAATAGATATTTCGGGCTATTAGATATAATATGTTTGGGTCGGAGGGCCATTTCGTGTCAATGGAGAAAAATACGGGCTATTAAAATTTTGAAGGGCTATAGAGGGTCATTTTCTCACAAAAAAAAGTTGAAGACCAAGGGATTCCTTTTCTTTGGACTTTTCTTGTCCATTCATCTAACTAATAAAATTAGTTGGGCCATCTAATTATTGGATCTTTACACAATGAAATCCCACCCACCATCAATTGTGGGGGATTTGCAGTTGTACCGTATATTTGTGCCACCTTTTAACCTGTACCCTATTTTTTAAAATTATTGATTTGGTAGCCATCTCACAAAATATCCATAATAATATGACAATTATACCTATGACAAAAGATATAAAACGATCTCCTCCTCTCCTCTCAGCAACTTTATAAAATAATCAGAAACTTGTTCAGATTTATCTTCAGAATCACACTTGCATGAAGTTGTTTCACCTTGAAGCTAAAACTTCATGCTAATGTAGCATGAAGTTGTTTCATGTTGAAGCTAAAACTTCATGCTATATTAGCATGAAGTTGTTTCACATTGAAGCTAAAACTTCATGCTAATGCATGCTGAAATTATTTATCCTGCAGTCTACAGTTTTGCCATGAATTTTATCTGAAACTTCAGTCTAAACATGTTGAAGTTATTTAGTTCATTTGCTAAAACTTTAGACGAAACATACTGAGGTTATTTAGTTCATTTGCTAAAATTTCAGAGTAAACATGCTTAAATTTTTATCTTGGAGTATGTAATTTTCTAAAGAGTTTTTGCTAATGCATGCTGAAGTTATTTAGTTCATTTGCTAAAACTTCAGACAAAAACATGCCAAAAGTTTTGTAACGCAATCTACAGTTTTGTCCTGAGTTTTATCCGAAATTTCAGTCTAAACAAGCTGAAGTTTTTTAGTTTATTTGCTAAAATTTCAGCCTAAACATGCTTAAATTTTTGTCCTGCAGTTTGTCAATAGTCTTTTATTAAAGAAGGGCAAAATCGTATTTTTAAAATACTTTTAAAAAAAATGAATACGGATGCAAACGAAAAAATAAAACGGGTATAAGTTAAAAAGGGGCGACCAAATAAGGCGCCCAATACAATTTTTGCGCCAATTGTGTGGTTCCACATTCGTTGGATGTCGCTATACAAAGCCCATGCTTAGATCCATTTTGGAAAGTCGAGGAGAAAATACGAAGAGTGAAGATGGTGGGTAGAGAGGAGAACTTTTTGAAAATTTTCTAATTTTCTGCAAAGTTGGTTTCTCTGGTTTAAAGGCCTCTCCTTTTGTTGCGCCAGCCCAAAATCGTTAAATTACGCGATTTTATTTGTGCAATTTTAACGTAACGAATAATATGTCTAGTTCACCTGGTTTTTATGATTGTGGATTCAGTTGTTATTCGTCATTACCTCAGCTGTCCAAGAGATGACATCCTGACCAATGAACCGAAAGCATATTGACCCGAATCTTCGTTTTATTATTTTTACCTTGTGTAAGTGTGCAAATTTTAGAGCTGATGGTGTGCTCAATTTCTTGTGGAGTAATTTTTATAACCTTACTCATAAGAGTCTAATATGGAGTGGCTTGTGTTTGCCTTTGGATAAGTTGTAGTTTTATCTTCTTTTTTTTCATTTGTTTCTGCTACCTCTAAGTTCTTGGTAAGTTGGTATGTTACACGTCTTATAACATGTTAAGATTTTTGGCCTTCTCTCGGAATTCGTGTTGATTGTTACTGTTATTTTCATGTTTCTTATCTTCATATATATGCTATTTTAAATTTAGCACTTTCCGACTAAAGTAAATTTAAGGTGAATTTGGAAGGGAATTGTGCTACTAAAGTTTGTCGGAAATATATGTAACTTCTCCCTCATGATACCAAAGGATATTCAAAAGAGAGATTTATAAAGTTTTGGTCTACTTCACTCATTACGGTAATATTTTGAATTATTGCTCATATTCTTTCAGAAATATGAGAGTAAGATATTAATAACTGTCAAAAAAGATTAACGCAGTTGTCTTCTGTGGATAAGTTTGCATTTTATGTGAAGTGTTAAAACCAAACTTATGAATGCAAGATATTTATTACCAAATTGAGGTTAGCTACTTCGTAATATTAAATTTCTTTTTAGTAAGTATTTGATTCCTAAAATTAAATTAGTATTACTATGTTTGATATAAACGCAGTAAATTCTTTTGTCGTGTAGCTGGTTAGTAAAGAATGAAGTTGGGAAACCTAGTTAGCAGCTAGTAGCCTAGCACATCCTTTAATACCTTGTGCTCCATGCTATTCTGATGTTGCACCAAAACCCAAGTTCACTGCTATTGCTGCCTATCCAATAACAAAAGAAAGGAGAAACTAAACCAACAAGTTAAAAGCTTAATATAGTCCACAAGTCAACAGTTTTTCCTACCTTTCAAAGTGCTCCTCAAATACCGCATCTGTTATTTATATATATATATATATATATATATATATCTGTTATTATCTGTTATCTATAATAACAGATAATGATTCGGCACAAGTTGTTTACCCGAAAAACGGATAGAGTTAGAATTTATACGTAGTTCTAAGGATACGTGGTATAACTTGGTATAAATCGGAAAAGTAAGTAGAAATATATATCGAACATTGGCCGTAAAAAAGGAATGAAATACAAACCAAATTGAGTAGAGAATGATTTATAAACAAGCAAGATGAATCAATGTCAAAGCTCAAAAAGGATAATCTCTGTTATATATCAGTGTAATAATCTTTGAAATGTGAGAGTATCAATGTTTGCTTCTCTCGATGTTCAATGTCCCCTTACAGAAATGATACCCATTCTTCATATAGTGAAAAAATCCTACTTTGGATATAATAAAAAATACATAGTGGGGATCCCATGATAGATTAGTTAATAGCTTTTCCTTAATTCCCACCGAGATTCTCTCCCTAAGTGCGGCTACAACGACTCTCTCTCTCTTAACTCGATCTTGGTATTGGTCGATCTCCGAATCTCGAGCTCGATATTGATCGGTTTCTGCCTCTTGAGCTCAATAACACTACTTCATATCATAGCTCGATATTGACTCGAGCTCGATATTGATCGGTCCCTGAATCTTGAGCTTGATAACCTGGCTTTATTTCTTATCTCGCTTTTACAATGACGACCCTCGGTTCATCATGTTCCAATCTCGACTAATTACACGTAGGGCAAACTCGGATTTGACCGTATACAGATAGTCCCCTCGTTTCTCGGAAAGAATGTGGCGAGAAATGATATGATTTTCCAACGATATGACTAGATATACACTGACGTCTGCATCAAGCCCGACCATGACATACGTGATAAATGTCCCGTCGGTTCAGTTATCGAGCCATTAAATATGCGTCGAACGATGGTCGACCACTGCTGATATTTAATCGTCATCGCCAAATCTATAAATAGCTCCTCTCTTCACCATTTTTTACTTTTAAATTTCCAATCTCCAAATCTACTAAGTTCGTTTTTGCATCTTCTGTGTTCTTCATCTGCAAATCTGCGATTTTCACTGCTAACCTCTTCGTAGAACACCAAATCTTATCATCTCCCTCTATTTTTAACTTCAAATCCAAATGGCAAAAACATCAAAAACTGTTCCTCAAAAAGAAAATGCTTCTTCATCACGGCTGGCCGGCGATAAAATACCGGTGGAGCCACGCCCTGAGGAGTGTGTTCCTGGGGGGGAGGGGATGTCCTCACTTCTAATTTTAAGACCGGCAAAGCCTCGTCGGTTCCCAGTCGATGCGAGCCAGTATCGAGGTATATATGCTCGATAACTGAGGGATACA